CCTCAGACCAATTAAATTGTTTGTTTTTTTACATTAGTTCTCTAAAAGGTGCTGAAAGTGATGCTAATTTTGGGAAGAATTTATTGAATTGGTTAATTGATCCCATTAGCGATCTTACGTCTTTAATGCAACGTGGTTCTTTCAAATTTCTGATTGCGTCTGATTTGTATATTAATGGAGTTGTTCCCAATGTGTCGATTTTAAATCCTAGCCATTCTATAGTATGTGTCAAAAACGTACACTTTGCCCATTTTATGGCTAATCCTTCGTCGTCCAACCTTTTTACAACATTAATAACTAGCGTGCGATGGTCTTCAACGCTGGCTATGGTAGCGATTAGAATGTCATCCAGATAACAGTGTGTATTAGGTAATTTTTCCGTCAGACGGTCCATAATACGTTGAAATTCATTTGGCATATCACCTAGTCCGTAGATTCCAGTTTTAAAGCGATATGTGATGTCTCCTCCACGATACTAAAGTTGCATTGGTTACTCGCTTTTTTCGAGATAGATGAGAACCAAAATTTGTTTTCATCAATAGATGAGAACCAAAATTTGTTTTCATCAAGTCCCCTAATTGTTACCGCGACATCATCGATTAATTCAAACAGATTAGGCATTTGATATCTGTTACGAAATATCTGTTTGTTGAGTAGTTTTGAGTTTAAAGCCAGTTTGATTTATCCGTCCCTCTTTGCTGTGATGACGATAGGAGAAATAAAACAATCTTCCGAGCATTCAGACAATAAAACAATCTTCCGAGCATCCAGACAATTTTTGTAGAATTCTTCATCTCTACAATATTTAGAGTTGGTTCGTTTTTAATATTTTGGGTTTTTTACCGGATTATATACAGGAAATTTGAAGTACTATTGATGTATCTTTCTGCCTTTCTCTTGAACAAGTACATTTGCTAACACGTTTTCTGTGGTAAGATACTCGATGCACAGTTTTTTTTTGAATCTCGACGTTTCGCATATTTGTGATAAAATTAACTCTAACTAGTTCTGCGTCAAGATTGCCCAATTTGAAAGTTTTTTGCCAGTTCCGAGAGAGTTTCTTGGAATTTATATATTGATTCATCATCTTTTTGTCTTCGCCCAAAAAATTTGTATCTCTCGTAGGTCAAACTCGTAATTACGGTGAACGTAGTTTTTAGTAGATCCCAAAAATCTGCGAAATTGATGTCCAGTAATCTTGTCGCAGGGTTTTTATGTGAAAAAAATTTTTGACCCTCTCTTCCGAGTGCCAAAAACAATTGTGACTTTAGTTTCTTGTCGATGTCGCCGATCTGAAGTCGATTAAACTTCGCGTTGTCTTCTGCTTGTCTCATTCTCACCTCTTCATTGTAGGATTGTAGAGCTAGTTTGTGACGTTCTTCTTTCTCGGCCCGACGGGATTATTCCTCAGAAGGTTCCACTCTGCAGTGGTGTTTATTAGTTCGGGTCTTGCTGGAGGGTTGATCAGGTCTTCTATATCCACCGAGTCTTTAGCAATGATTATTAGTTGAAGTTTTTCTGACCATTTTTCTCAATCTTGCTGGTTCTCATTCGGTGCGTTTTTCCGGAAAAACTCTAGTCCTCGTAGGTTCGACTGACTCGTTTGACTGCGCCATTTTCAAAAATTGGATTAATTCACGGGTTAAAATGAATCGGGTCAACTTAAACTAAGACTTTTTTAAGACGAAATAGGTAAAGATCTCCACTATCGAATAGTAGACTTTTATCTTAGACTAGAGTAAAAGACAGGGTTATATATAGGCTACGCTAAGATACTAAAACGGAGTTTAAAAGGTTCAATTAAGTTCAGTTGAGTTAACAAGATTGACTGCAATAAAAAACATCAAGTGACCAACATCATCTATGCCAAAAAACGTTGCGTTTTTGGCAGGTGTTAACTAATTAACATAATCGAACAGGCAACTTAAAGGTTAAATGGTCGCTAACAGTAATACCCCTTTTGACTCAAAACGTTTGTTCTCTCTCGACGGAAATCATCTATTTTCAGACTGTTTTCATCAAAAAAAAAACATTTCGACCGGATTCAACCAAATAAAAAGCTTTTGATCGTATTGGACTGAGAAAAACTGCTCCCACAAAATACTATCATGAATGAAATCGGAATAAAACTGAGTGTTTTGCCAGTGTCTTTAAAAATTCAAAAAAAAAGATTCTAATCACTTAAAAACGAATATATTGCATCAAATTAGTGAAGTAAGAAAACCAATCTCCAATCTTCTTTTTCCACAATCGATATTTTTCTTCTTTTTATTAGAAAAAACAAAAAAAACCTATTATTTTTGATTATGTTTTTTCTTTAGTTAAATTTGTTTCATTCAAGTTAAATTTTTGTTAGCTGTTTTGCCATTTCAACTTTTTTCTGCGCATTTTTGAATTTTAATAGTCATAGCTTTCAATCAATTTCTCAAAAATTTGAAAACTTAAAGGGGATTTGAAAGTTGGAGGCGGGAAGATTTTCTATAGACGCATGTCTTTATGTAACTGTTTTTCAGACTCGAGAGGGGAAACCTTGTAAAAAAAATGCAAATTTGCAATCGAAGCCTTCCAAAAGATGCCCGAAAATGGCCTTTGTTAACTATCTTTTCAAAAAAACATCTACTGAATGAATAGTTTTGTATGCAAAGCTCATTGGAGAAAAAGCGGAAGTTTTTGCGTTTTTTGCACAAATCGAAACGCCAAAAAAATTCAAAAGAAAGCCAAACTTATTAATTTTGAATGATCCTGATTAATTTGAATTTGATAACACAATGAATAACAAATGATTTTCAATCCGTTTTTTGTTTGAGGGCCTTTTTGAATTGATTATCTTGGTGAGATTTTGACCCCAAAATCTCATTGTAACGACTTTTGAAAAAAAATTTCCTTAGTGTGTTCACATAACGGTAACTGCAGTTTTTGAAATCAATTTGATCAACAATTTGTAGGCTTTGACCGTGTTGACTCCAGCTGATAATGGTTCTTATGTTTTGATTCATGTCATCCTGAATCTCGTTTTTTAAACCAAAAAAAAATAATTCGACCCTGTTCATATGATAAAAAAACGTTTGATCAAATTCGATCATAATTTAGTCTAAAATTTAAATTTGCAGACTCTTCCTACAGTTTGCAGAATCGACTTGCTTTTAGCAGAATCCATTTAGTTTTCCGGAATCTGAAACAAACAGCATTGTTTCACAAAAAAACAACAAAAATTATAAGGTTATTTTACGAGTTATCCACGGAAAATCTGTATATGGAATCCACTTTTGTTTTTTGAACTTGTTTAAAGTTTTGTCTCTGGATTCCATTGACCTATAGAAAGCAAATTTTGCGCAAATCCAGTGCACAGTATGGCCTCGTAATGACTTCAAAACGGGTATGGACTGAAAAAGTGTGAAATATTTCTAATAGAACGATTTGAAAGTTTTATGATACTTTGATTAACGTTTTGTGTGGTTGAACTAAAACTCGGGTTTTAAATCGAGCTTAAAGTCAAAACATGCCCGTTTTAGGTCGCAAAAGTCGGGAAATAGGCAGAACACATAGGTCGAGCACAACCAGATTTTTTTGAAGATATCAATTAATTTTAAAGTAGAAACAGAGCAAAAGCGTTTTGGTCAGAAAAAATCTCCGTCAGAAAATTACAATCAGCAACGATCATTTGAGGATATTTATTTAGGATACCACAAAACTAAAACTTTAATAGAACGTTTTAAATATTCCCCAGAATTACGGGTTCCTGCGTTTCTAAGTTTTGTTAAGAAATTTAAAACAAGATGGAAGAATTGTGAAATAGTTTTTGATGCAGGATTTGTGTTTAATTGATTCTCGCAGTTTATTTTTGAGTCAAGCATCATCACAAAAAATCAACTGGAAAGAATAGTTTTCAAGTTTTTGTCAGTTTACCCATGTTATCTGACTCTCGAGAAAGTCAAGAAAGTCGAAACATAACTTGAGCACAGTCAAAATATAGCCATTTTTGGTCGAAAAGAAAGTACAGTCGAAAAAAGTGATTAAACATTTAAGCTCGGGTAGTTTTTCCTAAATCATGAAAAGGGGCTTTTAACGTGTACCTAATAACAGACCTAACTCAAATATAACCTCACATTTTTGTGAGGTAAATCTTACACATCCCATTCGTCACGCTGCTTGAAATAAATAAAAATTAAAGTGGAAAAATTTGTTCGTCTGTAGAGAAACTCGAGCCAATAGAAACATGCCCATTACCCATTAATGCAGGTTTGAACAAATAAAAAAAAAACATTTTTAAAATATCAGCTGAGACAGTCGAAACTTATTTGAACAAAAGCGAACAATTTTTTTTTGTTTGCGAGGGTAACGGAAAATTTGGTCGAGAAAGTCGAAACATACCGAAAATTAATCTAGACGGTCGAAACATAGAGTTATCTGGTCGAGAATGTCAAAGCATTAATCGAGCACCTCGAAATGGGGATGGCAACAATTATTCAAGAATTTTACGGCAAAAAATGTTTCTTCCACATTTTCAGGAAAAAAATGTTGTTCATGCCAGAAAAGTTTGAAGCGATTTCCAAAAAAGTCGTTTTTCCGAATCGTATAGGAGCTCGAAGTTGGCATGGAGAGGCCTGTTTAGATGACAGTTGCTTTACTGTAGTTTCTCAAATGCAGATTGATTTATTTTCACTTATTTTGCTTAATAAAACTTTGTATGTACATATATATACAGCACTCGAATTCATACTTTTTCTCAATACTGATTTTTTTCTGTCATAAAGGTTTTTTTTCTGTCAACAAAGCATGAAACACGCAGCAAGTTGGCATAACTTAGAGCCATTGTTAGAAACTCAATTGGCTGAAGAGAATCTTGCTGATGATTTTTGTCAACTTAATAATTCATATCTTCTAATATATTATATTTACAATACTCTTAAGCTTTGAAAAACGCTTTCAAACCTTTTAACAAATCTGTGCAAAACGAATTTAAATACAAAAAGCACGTTAAAAAATTAGTTAACGCAGAAAAAACTGGTATAGTAACAAAAACGTGTATTAGTTTTGGTTAGATTTGAGCAAACAAATGTTGGTTTGTAAAATCATTATTGCTGATAGTTTTGTAAGTCCAAGAAGAAAGTAAGTCGTTTTTTTAACAAAGTGTTATAGTCAAAATGACTTCTTTCGAAAAAACGATGCAAGGTGATTCCGATGACTATACAGAAGACGAAAGGCATATTATTGGTGAGCTACAGATTTTCCTCTTTTTTAACCATTAAAAGAACACTAAGCAAGGTTTAGTTGTTTTTTTTTTCCCGAAAAATTGTTCGGTTTTTAATTCTTTTTTGTTTTCAAACTCAGCCATCACGCTGTGACAAGTATTTTTCACTGAAAAGACTCAAATCTTGAAGACACTCTTGCAAAAATTGGCAGTTTTCAATTTGTTTTCTGTCCAAAATTTATGTGATTAGCTAGCGAAAAATGATTATCATTCAATTCGGACGCGCACAACACCAGCATACCACTGTTTTGTTAACAAAATTGTGAACGAAACAAGTGAGTTTTCAAAACTTCTGGTTGATTACGGGAAAAAAACAGGCAGGTGAGAAAAAGAATCATTCAGAGAGCTTTGGATAGATTTAAAAACTTAGGGTTACTTTTTCAAAATGGTAGGACGAGTAGGGGTTCCGCCAACACTCGCTACAAACGACAACTCACAAAAAAAACGAAAGCTCGCAAATTTTCAGGAAAGCAACAACACGCAAAAAATTTTAAATAAATGGAAACTTTATAATTTTGGTAAAAGCTCACTGGTTGTCGATATTGTCTGACAGCGCACAGGCAAAGGTTTTTGGCTCTAATTTTCTCCCGTGCCTTCAAACTTGGATGTTAATGTTATGCACGTTTTATTGATATAATTTGATTCTTTGCTATTTGAAAAAAAATGCTTCTTGAAAAGGTCAGTGAGTTGACTTAATATGGAACAGTTTTTTCTCTGACACAGCCTGATCCACTAATCTGCCCCACAAAACCGGAGAGGTTGACAATAAAGACAAATTGTAATGTTAATCTTCAAACGCCAGAATTATTAAGAAAAATCATCGCCAAAGTCCGCTTTCGAACAAAAACTATGTGTGCATTTTCATCTTGGGGCCCAAAACCGATTGAACTGTCTCGTAAGAACTGTTTGATTTTTTGAAGACACAAAAAATCAACACAAAAAAAATGGAAAACAATCTAGTTTTACCATGACTTTTGGAAAAACTGGCGAAAATAAAAGACAAAACAATAATTTTCTGAACAAATTTTCGTGAACATAAACAGTTAATTAATAGGGAAAATCTCCTATTCAAAAAGTATAGAAATTAAATCAAATGAAGATTTTATAGACTTCAGACAAAACCATCAGATTTTTGTCCAGCAAGTCGTCTGGTTTTTGTATCATTGATTTTATTCCTAGATAGGTTATGGTTTCTGAGGCCGAGGTTTGTTTGCTTCCTAAAACTAATATATTTTTTAAAGAAACCCAAATTTTCCACGTGGATTGATACCAATTTTTTGTGCTTTTATCATCTCAAACTTGCTCAGAGAGTTTGCTTGTTTTTATGAGTTTAGCCCTCTATAATGTTCTTATCTTCTTCTTCCATGAGATATATTCCAAAAAGGTCGATAAGTCCATTAAATGACAGAATGGCAAATATGCCACATACGCTGCGTACAGACTTGTTCCCTCGTCGCAATTTATGATCACATGAGTTCACGCATTCATTCAAGAAGCAAAAGAAAAAAAAATCGAAATAAAATATTCGAGAAACTTGAAAAGCCATCCGTTCTTGCTGTTATTCAAATCTTGTATTTTGTTCATTTTTGGTTTGTATTTAGCAGAACGTCTAAAGCAGGACTTTCAAGTTTCGCGACTATTTCACGATTGTTTTGAGTCTATTTAACAATCGCCCTCCTTATGGTATCTACTAAAGAATTGCCACCCCTTTAAGTAAAAAGAGTAAATTACCACTAGAGCGTTCTATGTAGAATTTGATTTTTGCTGCATTCTGATTGGTCTAAAATTCGGGTAACAAATGACACCCCCCGTTTTTGAAAGGAAGGCGGGTAATTGGTTAGTTCATCCTTAGTACATAGTAAGAACACATTAAGTTTTCATTTGTTTTAAGAATGGTTTGTTGATCTTTCAAAACTTCGAATTGTCTACTCATAAGACCTCATAGTCTAAGATATCACAATAAAACCCAACTTTTTTGAAAGTATTTTATTTAGGAAAAGAAGCGGCCAGACTTCGTTGGGAGTTCGAGGAAGAGAGAGCCGGGAAAGGAAAGAGCAAGCACGGCAACAACCCCGCAACAACCAGTGACATATTCCAGAGTGAAACAAGCCACTCAATGGCCATGCTAGCCGACTTAGGTGAAGATGATCTCGGTTTTGAGTGTTTTCACTAAAAAATGGCGGATCATTAAACAACCGTCATATATTGAAGCCGAAGTTACACTAGAATTAAGTTAATTACGTAACAAATCGGAATTACGTAACAATCGCTTAACAATAACGACTTTTAACAATAACATTTTTTTATGTTGCATATTTAAAAAAAATTATTTTCGGCTTCTTGGAATGGTATCTTATTTTTGGCTGGTTCGTCTCTCGGCCTAATAGAGCCTACCACCAAAAAAAGTGAAACAATTTTCGTTCCGGTTCGTTTTGATCATCTCGCAACCCTAATCTTCACTTCGAAAATTAGAAGAAAATTCTGCTTACCAACTTAAACCTCTTTCTATAAGTACTCACCAAAAATAAATCAATTTTTTCAGCTTTTTTGTCAAAAATGAAAAATATTTAAAATGATTAGATAGGTAGTCGACATCTAACGCCCAACCTTTCTCAAAAAAGATAGCAAATCCAGCTATGTTTTAATTAGTCGATAAATAGTTTTGCCCTAAAATTCATGGTAGACGTGAAAAACCTGACTTGGGCCAAAGTGGTGAAGAATTTGAATCCCTTTGTTATATGTAGTCCAGGAGTATGATTTTATTAAATATTTACTTACACCTTTTAAATTTTGAAGCTATTCGATTTAAAACAGAAACATAAACCTCGGATCAAAAGCAGCATTTTGAAGTCTAAGAGCAGAAAACACTCTTTTTTGATCTTATATATAGATTTCCACGTTTGTTTAGACCGACAAGTGAAAGAAGCTATGAACAAAAAACAGGAATCACTCCGCGAACTCCGCGAGCTACAATCGCAACTCAAGAGCAGTCGGAACGCTCCGGCGCATCCTCAACCCGCTAGCCCTCTGAGTTATGCGTCACCAATGCATAGCGCCGCGCCTTCGGTAACATTTGAGAAACACGACAACACCGATTATCAGTTGTTGGAATTCAAAATCGAAAGCGCAAAACGAGAGCTGAAAAATATGGACGATCAAATTTCTTCACGTCGCAAAATGTATGAAAACAGTCTGGGTGTGAATACAGCTGAAGTTCTGGCTATAATTGAGGAGCGGGACGCTCTGAAAAAGAAACTAGCAAGTGGTGATTTTGCGTTTAGCTATGTTGAAAAGTTGGAACTTGAACGCCAAGTCAATATCGCGAAAGAACAAGTTTTCGCTGAGCAGAAAAACGCCCGGAAACAAGGAGAAAAATTACAAGATGAAATCGAAGGTATGAATTGAACTTACATTTCTTTAAAAAAAAAACGTTCGCTGCTGGTTATTTTTTTTAATAGTTTTGTCGGAGATATTTTTCCAAATTTCATTACAGTTTTCACCTTCCTTTCAAGTAAAAATTACATGAAATTTTAAAATTAAACTCATTTTGTACAATAATATCAACCGTTTTTCAAATCTAAACGTTTGAATGACAAGAAAAATCACCATTATTTTTGAACAAAAGCAAAAATCATTGCAAAAGTATTTTCTGTAATAGTTACAATTAAAGTCGATCATTTGGGGAGCAAAATAATTCAATTCATCCAATCCACAATTCCGCCTAGATTGTCAGAAGACGATTGAAGACTACCAGATGGCCAACCAGGAGTTGGTGGGGAAGATAGAACAGCTGGAGGGGGATATGAGGAAGAGGGGGGAGGAGGGGAGGGAGAGGGAGGATCAGCTAAAGAGTGAAATCAGGGATCTCAGAAACGAAATCGAAGACAGGAAGGTAAGATCCTTATAGGCTTCGCGTGTTCCTCAATTGAAAAAAAAAACAGGGCTGTTTAGAAATAATGAAATTGGGCCGTTTAGTGCATAAGACCCAAAAAACATACAAATTATAGAAAGTAGCAAAAGTGATGGGATATTGTATGGGAAGTTGGGCAGTAGTATGTGAAAATTATGGTTATTTATAGCAATTAGCTAAGTTCCGCGTCAATCGGTTTCCTCAAGGTGTTGTAATTTTTTTTTCACTGTTATTTATAATTATTTAATAATTGACATGGAGACAAGTCTGATTTAAATAGTGAACTTAAAAGCGAGCAAAACAAACACTTTTTTAGACGTTTTGGCGGGGCAATTGATGGAATTATGCGGTAGAAAAAATAATTGTTCTACAATTTGCTTTCCTCAAACTGAACGTAACAAGACTAACTGCTGTATTATACAGGGATTCAAGATTCGGCTATTAAGGTTCTTAGTTTGGGTACCTTGCTTCTGCTTTGTTTGCTTAGCTGTCTTGCATATAAGCGGACGCCTCTCTCTCTCTCTCTCTCTCTCTCTCTCTCTCACTCACTCTCTCTCACTCTCTCTCTCTCTCTCTCTCTCTCTATCTCTCTCTCTCTCTCTATCTCTCTCTCTCTCTCTCTCTCTATCTCTCTCTCTCTCTCTCTCTCTCTCTCTAACTCTCTCTCTCTCTCTCTCTCTCTCTCTCTCTCTTTCAAAGATTTGATCCCTCTCCAACCAATGGGTCATCTCTTTGGTACTAAGTTACAGCATCTAATTTACTAAGTTACAGCAAAAGATATATTTATATGTCAGTGGTGTGTATACTTATTTAAAAAAATATTAGAATACCTCTCGGGTTGATCTCCATACGATAAAAAAAACTGCTCGTCATATTTTTTCTAAAAAAGGGGTTAATAAAAAATGCTTATCAATGAAAGTCTTATAACAAGAATTGTTTCCATACGATCAAAGACTGCTAAACCCTTCACAAGTGTTTTTAAGTAATTTGGAATAAAAATTTTGCAATTTTTTGCAGAATAGGAGACTTTTTTCGTCAAAATTCTGTTTCTTAAAACATTGGAAAAAAAGTTTTGGATGCAAAAAATTTTTTGCCTCTAACGTTATTCAGACACAGTGTTTTACGCAGAAAAATCAAAATCATAATTAAAATTTTCTGTGATGTCCAAAATTTTATTTTTCTGTTTTAGATCCTAACTACATATGTCCAAAATTAAGTAACAATTTTCAACCTTGAAACTTTTTGAAAAAGAGGCCTTACTTCCAATTCCGAAAACTATTCACTCTTTGAATACAACGTGGCATTAATTTGATTTACTTTCTTGGCATATCTTACTTTATTTTTTTTGCGATTTTGCTGCCGTTTAATCTATTGATTTTCTAATATGAGAAAACCTTTGGTTTTTGTATTTCCGGGCAACACACAAATAAATAAAACGAAACGCAGAAACCTGTTTCAATATAAAAAAACTCTATATCCTATAATTCCATTGATGGAAAAAATGCTATTCGCTGCTAATTTCTTGAAATTTTTTTCTTCTACGATAAACATTTTTTCCATAAACGAGAAATGACAAACTAGTTTTTGTCAACCCGGAATTTTTTGTTAAAACCATATTCATCTTGACAAGATATTTGCTAAGTTTTCTATGTTCCACTGTGCCAAGAAGTACACTTTAACACCAACTGTGATCACAAACTTTAAATAATGCATCACGTATGTATGACTTAGATAAAACTCAGAATTTTAGAAAATATTATAGTTTAATTGTTGAGATTTTGCAATATCTATAATCGTCTGAATATTGCAATATCTCTTTTGCAATATTATTTAATCCAACAGGATTTCTCGTGATATTGGCAAGATTCTTCATGATCGGAACTAATGTAAATATTATGAAGATATATTAACTAATTATATTTATTATTTAATATTATAATATGGTTAACTAATAAAGATATAGGTCTTTAAAATTAAAATTTGTTTATGTGTTGTTAACTTAGGTTGCCGAGCATAGACTATCTCTAGACGCCGCAGACAAGGAAAAGTCAAATCAGGACTTGCAAATGATAGTAATCGAAAAAGAAAAGCAGATCACTCAAGCGCACGACGAAAAATCACAGATGGCTCGCGACCAAATTGAAACCATCTCAAACCTCAAAGCCGAACACGCTTCGCACGTGAAATCTTTGACAGAAAAGTTGGAAAGTGAACAAAAAATTGCTCTGGCGAATTTGGACAAGAAAAAAACGGAAGAAATGACTCATGCTGTCGACAAACTGAAAGCCGAAATTTCGGAATTCAAATCGAATCATTGTCGAATTGTGGACAATTACAACTACGATCTTGAAAGTTTGAAGAAAAATTTGGCTGAAGAGCAGCAAAAATCAAGCGACTTGATTCGGAAAATGAAAACGGAATTCGAAGACGACATCAAAAGCACAATTCACAAAGAAAGGATGTTCAATGATGAAGAGCAATCTAGACTTGTTTCGAAAGAAAAACAAATATTTGAGGATGAATTAAAACGAGTGAGTTCTCGTCTTAACGACGCAATTGAATACGAGAAATCTCAACTAGCCGAAATGAAAACAACCAATGAGAAACTGAAACGCGAGCTGGAAAATTCACTGGAAAAACACAAAGCGGATCTCCACGAAATGACCGCGGCTCATGAAGGGGCAATCGGTAAACTTAGAAACCAGCACTTCCAGGAAATTGAACAGTTACGTAATAGGATGACGTCAGAGCGTGACACGGAAGTTGAAAAGTTATGCAAGCAGAGTGACGAATTAGAAGGGCGATTACGTCATCTTGACAAAGACCATGTCGACCTTACCACTAAAGTCGACCATTTCTTCAACGTTTTCGACCATCATGAGAAAACGATAGTTTGCGAGGTCAATGACCTCTGCAAGGTCATAGCTGAAGCTCTAGATATTGACCCTAGAAAAGTGACCTCTAAAATGAGTCAGGTTAAACCGCATCAAATGCTTCTGAACCCTGCGCTGCAGAAAACTACAACCCGAAACTGCTTAGCTAACATGCGAGCCACTGTAACCGACCTGGTTAATAATTACAGCGACCTTCAGAATGTTATAAATGGGTTAAGACATCAGTTGAAGGATTTGAGGAAAGAAACGGAACAGAAGTTGGTGACTTTGACCGAGCATATGAGTGTAGCAAACGAAAAAGAACGCGAAGGTTTGAAAGAGGAGCTGGAAAATGCGCACGCAAAAATAGTTTCCGAACTGCAAAACGTGATCCGAAGTCGTGAAGCCGAAAGCGACGACTTGAAAAAGAAACTTCGAATCATGGAAAACGAAGTCGAGGACTTGCATAAATCGATGACAAAGTGGAAGGAAGAAACAGCAGCGAGACTTTCGCAGACTTTCGAAACGGAAATGAAAAGTTTGTATCTTCGCAAAATGCGAGAAGAGCAAGAAGCGACAGAACTGCTGAACAAACAGAAACTGCTGATCAAACTCGAGGATCAAATTAGCCGACTGAGAGCCGAACAGGCGCTCGGAAAGAGTTCAGACCCGAGTACTGCCAAGCTGATTAGTCATCTTCAGGAACGAATTAGAGGACTGAAATTTGAAACTCATCAATCATAAATCATAAAATGTAACATTTATACGTTTGTTACCAATTACTTACCTGGACTGTTTGTTTTTATATTATGCTAATTATTGTTGTACATAAAAATTAACTGTGTGATAATAAATGCACTGTGCTCAAGAGTAGTGGCGGATTTAAGGGGGACACCCCATCTCAGGGATTCGGTTCAATTTTTTTTATATACAATTTTTAGCTTCAATTTTTGGCTGGCTGGCCCTTGAACTTTTCTAAATGCGCCTCCGGTGTTGTTTGTATACTAATTTTGCGGGGGAAGCGCGCACAAAAGAAACACGATTTCTGGGTCAAAACTGCCTAGAAAATGCCTAGAAATTCTGTATTTTAAAATATAGCCGGCGGTGCAAAAAAGTGGCCATAACAACAGGGTCCTTTAGCGATTGGAAACAGCTCGTAAAATCACGTTAGTGGATCGAAACTTCGTTGAAAATCCTCCCCCCTCGAGAAAATCCTAGACCCGCCCTAGCACAAGATTTTCGAAAAACTTTTAAGAGGTTCTTAACCAGGGGCGGGTGTAGGATTATCTTGAGAAGTGTTTTCGAAAACGTTGTACGCTTTTTTTTGAAAAACAGAAAAAAATCAATTCTTTTTGCTTGCTGGAAGACCATCACTCTATAGCTTATTTTAACTCTAACTTGTCAAGCTGAAGGCGTGGCTTTATGTCCAGATTATCGCAACACTTCTGTGTCAGTTCCAGGTTATTGCCACCAAATTTGGGCAGATCTTGTCGCGACTGAAATCCAGAGTTTCCCTGTTTTGTAGACCCAAAAATTGGTCCGCGAGTTTTGCCATCAAAGAAAAACTGTCGGAACTAGTGCAGCCGGAGCAAAAACATCGCAAATAAGCTCAAACATTCCTTGACTGAAGTTATATACCTATCGACAGAAGTCCATAAACAAACCAAGTTCGGTTACACAAATCTGGCTTACAAGGACATGGATTCCATCAAACTTGCTTGAAAATTTCCATGTTTTTTGTTCCGATCATTGAAAATGAGGAGAAACTTTCAATTCGTGTGTGTTTCAGTTTTTTCTTTTTTTTTGTTTTCCACGCAAAATCAGGTACTACAAATAATCACCAGAATGGGTAATATTTCATATTAAAGCCTCGCAGTCGTGTTTTGAACGAGTTTTAAAGTTTTTGTCAGGAAAAACTGGTTTCAATTTTTCGAGTCTTAGACAAAACTCAAGCGGATGAAGTGATCGAATAACGTTCGTTCTTTATGAAAATTAGTACCCTAGGCTTGAAAGTTTGATTTTGCTATAAGAAACACTTGTGGAAGCTTCATTCAGCGCATCTCTGGCAAAAAAAATTTAGTAAGATAGTTAAGTTTTTGTGCAAAGAGTTTTTAAAAAACCTATAAAAATTTTCTTTTTGAATTTTTTAATTCATTTCTTTCTACCATTTTTTTCCGTTTATTTATTTTGGAAGTCATTTGTAGTTTTTTATGCATTTTTCCCATGATTTTTCCGTGTTTGTTTAGTTCTATCATCACACGACGCCCCAGAAAAATTATCAATTGAAAAAATACCGATTATCTTCGTCAATGATGTATACAGCTTCATTGTCTTTGATTATTGTTCATCTAGTTTCGCAAAAAGTCCTCCTTATTCTCTGAGTCCGAATCTTCTGTCGACGAAGATACCGGAGATACGTCTGGCCTCGGCAGAATGTGTACTGGTGGTCTCTTCGGTTTGCTCGAACTGCAATGATGTAGCGCCTTCCTCGGCGTGCTTGCGGCTGGTGTCTTTGAACCTAAATCTGAACAATGTCCTGATTTGAACTTCGGTTTAAATGATATATGGTTCTTCCTACTTACTTTCCCTTTGTCTGTGACATAGGTGTTCTTAGTAATTCCAACCATTTTCCCATTAAAGATTTTGAGTAATGGCCGGCCCGATGTCCTATCCAAACTCTTCCGATAAACAACCACTTTCTGCGGATAATGCAGTAGATCGAATTCAAGGTTACTTATTTTTGGCAAATCGTGTTCCACTCCAAAAAATAGTGTTCCTTGATTGAGGTTTTTTTGAGATATGCTGCGAGAAGAGCGTTCTTGTCTGTCAGGTTCCTCAGCGCTTCTGATCCTTCCTTATTTGTCCTCTTGTGCAGTTTCCGATCGTTTGACGCCTTTGCCAGATTTTCTAGGGCCATGATGCTATCTGGCTCTTCCGCTGGCTACTTCAGTTTTAGTGAATTGTCTCCACTCACCATTCCTTTTCTGGCCACTTTCAGTCTGGTTTGTGAATCGGTTAATTCTCGCATTTCTTGTGGCTGTAGCATGGATCTGTCGAGTTTTTGTTGATCTGAATTTAAAGAATTGATTAGTTTTTCCCTAAAATTAGACCCTTCTGTAATAGTTTTTCGGTCATAATGAAATATAAATGGGGACTTCCTTAGAATACTGTGACGTGTTCTACGAATCTCTTCTAATATCGTTTGAATGCTCATTGAATATCCCTAAAGTTTAAGTCCAACTGCAAAGTGCCGCATTTCCTTCTGAGAGTCTGAGCTTTCCACAAATCAGCAACCGCGGTGGGCACCTACTGGGCAAAATATTTGGTTATCCCCCTAGATTTGCAAATTTCTGGTAGTTTAAAGTTTTTGAACCCAAAATATTGATCTGTTCTTAAATCTTTTGGTATGCTGTTTTGGTGTTTATAGTTGTTTAGAAGTTTAAGTTTTTTTTCTCTTTCCGAAATTCTAGTAATCATGACAGATGGATAATTCGAAAACCGGTCAATTGCAAATGGAATAAAAAGTTTTTCCTACATCGAATGAAGCTTGGGCTCTGGGAAGTCCATTTGAGGCTCTTCGTTTGGTTCGGAACGGTCTAGCATAAGTTTTGAAGAGTTGAAGAATTTGGATGTCTTAAGGTTCCTACCATACGTGGAGCATGATCCGCAAGATTTGCAAAGTGTATGATTTCTCTGCGCATCTTAAGCCACCAAAAACATTGTGCAGCATCCACCAAGGCTTACGGATCTGGGTGTGTCTGTGCAGTTGAGCCAAAACAGCCTTCCTCAGAGAAGCAGGAATCGCCACCCTGTTGCCGATGATGATACAGTCGTTGATCACTGATGCATCGTCCCAGAAGTTGGCCATGTAGCTGCCCAGTCGTAGGAACTCCTATGTATCCTTTGCTAGGATATGCTTCCTTTGTTGTCCTAACTGACTGTCTTCATTTGTCAACTCCCTCACTAGATCCGCATCTAGAAGGTTTTGAAGTCCTGTTGTGAATGAACTCTTGTCTGAAGAATCGGAATTTCCGTTGTAGTCGTAATTTTGGCCTGGCATGCCATCGCATTGACTCTCACTAACTTCTTCACCCTGTACACCGTGATGTTTGAACGTATACTGACATAGTTAGTCTTGTTTTGGTTGACTTGTGTAGCCCTCTTTCGTTTCCTGTTTGTATTGAGGTTTTGTACTGGTTGTCTAGACTGAACGCTGCTTCTTTCATTGATTGGGCTTTTTATTTGATTTTTGAGAGAAGGTTGAATTTTTTCATATGGTTTCTCTCTGATTTAGATGTAAAGTCGGCGACACTGATTTCTGTAAATTTCTGACTGAATATAACTTCGCCTCCTCTGATTGGTTGGATTCGGCTCGGACGCCCTCTCAAGGTGATGTAATTGGTTGGGCGAAAGTCATTAATAAATTACAAATAGTTCATTCTGATTGGTTAAAGCTTCCATCGCGTGTAGTTTCGCCCTTTCGCGTTGAATTACAACTCTTCTTACACAATTTTATTTGATTAAAATAATTGCCGCGTAAAGTTCCGATATCTACACGAGGGACGTGGATTTGCATAAAATAATCTAATTGGGTAATGTAAATTTTGCATGATAAAGCGCCCTCATCATGCGCCCTCGATGTTCCATGATAAGTCAATTTGCGGATATATGTACATTTTGCATATTCGATTGATAATGGACGGGATTTGTGCTCTCTAGATTGATTGATGCTTTTAAATCGGTGGCTCCCAATGATTTGATTAGTTAAAGATTTTGTACAGAATTTTGTCGCTCTCCGCCGGCATTTGGGTAACTGATTGACGTCTTTTGCCTAGATAATAAGCCATTCCAATTTTAGCTGCTGCAGTGTAGGATAATGAATATTCGTATGGTAAAATTCTGTCTGCCCATCTGGTTAATTTGGACTGACACGTCCTAAATTACGATTATCTATCAAAGCTGAAACTATAGCTTTACGGTCGGTTATAGTTTGAAATTGGTTCCCCAAAACAGATGGTTTCTGAAAAATTCTTATTTCTGAAAATAGTTCTTACTTTTGCTCCAATGATCCTCCCAATTCCTTGTGACTTGAGTCCCTTTCAATCCTGCATTGTTTGGATGCGTCGTAATGGTACACTATGGGTATGTTGGCAACTAGTTCTGTTATCTTTTGGAAAGCTTTGTTTGCCTCTTCACTCCAAATGAGCTGATTTTTGCTGTCTGGTCGCAATGGCTCAGTGTATTTTCGTAGATTAGGAATAAATCTGGACACGTGATTTAGTATACCCATAAAAAATCTGAGCTGTTTCAGAGTTTTTTGTGATTGTAGAGCCATTGCTGCTTCTATCTTTGAGTGTTTCGGGCTTATTACTGTATGATCGATCTCGAATACGAGCCAGGTTGGGTTTTTTTTGAGAATTCGCAATTACTCAATTTTAAAGAAAATCCTTATTTGTCTTATCTTGATTAAAATTTGTCAACTATTTCGTTATGGCTTGTAATTGATCCTTTCGACCCTGTCAAGATATCATCTAAGAAACAGATAACTTCTTTTAGTCCTTGAATTGTGTCGTCCATCACCTTCTGAAAATCCTTCGACTTGTCTGTTAATCCATAAAATCCGCTTTCGAATCTGTATTTTTCCGTTAATTCCCCACATACTATGCTGAAGTTGCGGTGTTTGCTGACGGATTCATCTAATGGAATTGACTAAATGCCTAAATCTTTTCTATAGACGTGAACCAAACTGTGTCTTCTGATTTGAGCAGCAGAATATAAAAGTTCCAATAGTTTTGGCATTTGAAATTTATTTTTGTAGATTCGGGAGTTCATCTGTTTCGTGTCAACCCTAAC